CACGAAACCCGGATCCAGGGTTTCCTGTCGACTACCTCCAACCACCATCTATCAATATTTATTCATTATGTAATCACTTGTTTCTAGCCGTTTGAACTGTTGTCACAATCAATGTTGTAGAATGTTCTTTCATCACATAAGGTATTTATTTACCATATTCATTCTATTAAATTTATTCGCACCCTTGCTATACTATACTAATGTGTCATCAATATCACTTCTAATCAAACTCTTTTATGTAAGTAATTTAAACCCATTATGTAACTATGATTTTAAATATCACAGGTTGTAAGCAGTTGACGAGAACTAAACGAAATAAAATGAATTCATGCTATTCTGTTAGAATCTTTTTTCTTGCGATTTTCAATAAATAATCCCTGGAAGTTACCATTCATTTAATCTTTTCCGAACAAGACAGGAATGTTCTATTACCTACTACTGTGGTTCTATGTTAAACTGTTGACAAACAATGATCAATTTAACTAAACAGCTAGGTAGTGAAGGTAAATAAATCTGATTATTGTATACTTTAGATAAATATTATGGTGTTGAGTATTTCGCTGATTTCCTGATTTTTGGGAGAACTAGACACCATCCAAATTTTCACGTGACAACCCAATTAGTACGGCCCAATCCCGCTTTCAAGAGAACTAGGGACTATCCGGGCTTAAACTTTATAACCTGAACAGTACAACTCGATCCCGCTTCATAGGACAACCAGACACCATATAGGCCTTAACGCCACAATCTGAATAGTACAGCTCAATAATGTGGCGTGACCACACAGATACCAAGCACCCTGGTGGAACAGCTGATTTAAAAGATCGAACCTTAACTATTTGAATCGTTTTGTTACTAAATTTCAAATTGACAACTACTGTTTATACAGGATCACAATATTTTTTATCTAACCTCCGAAAATACGACGAAAAAAAAAAACTCAAAAAGACTACCTACTAGAGACTTATTACTTCATCCTATTTTATCTCTTAAGAAAAAAAAGTGACTTAAATTTGTGGATTTATTTACCACCTAACAAGAAAACAAATAAAACAACTACACTGAATAGTTCACCAGGTAAGTGAGTATGCGAGACGTAGTAAAGTTGAGATGTATTGATACTAATTATTGGATCAAATTGATGTGGGGTGGGGTTGGAATATAGCACCTTGTGACTGAAAGTCAAACGTTCAAAAGAATAAGTTGTCGATCCACAAGAAACGGATCCTTCGAGCATTCAGTAGTAGAGGAACCAACATTCTTTTATGAAATTTCTCGTTCATTATTGAGGAGTGACATATAATTGATACTATGCGCTTTCTGGTTATTTAATTAATATCGTTTTATGACGGAAATCACCGTTTACACTAAAAGGTTATCTTCGTTAAACAAACATTTAGAAGTTATAGTATAAAGTGTATTCTGTAAGCAAAATTACTAAATGAAAGCTGATTTGTATGTTTTTTTTCTCGCGTCAGATACATATTTCCAACAGACAGAAATCCTTCATAATGATTATGTAACTCTATTACCAGGTTAAGAATGATTTGGATACAAAGAGCATAGTGTTTATAATTTCACATTATAAGTGATACAATACGATGATCTTCTTGAAGAGTTAGTTATATAGATTTCTTGAAATGTCTCGAAATGGATTATGAAATCAATAAGTTGTAATAAATGCACCTCATAAAAATAAGACATCGATGAATGATAGATATAATAATTGATAATAATTATGTAAACATTAATCAACTCGAACTGATGTACGTACGTACGAAGTTCCACGTTGCTGACTGACTGATGAGTTCTGCTTAGTTATGAAGATAATACATGTTGAAGATTATCTCATATAGATATGACGTAACTATGGGTTGATTTGTGCTCATTAAAAAAAATAGTGTGTTACGATTGTATTACTTAATAATAGAAAAAATTTGCAAATTAACAACATCAACAGATGAGAGTCAAGTTAGTCGGTTAATGATCATTTATTATTTATTTGAACACATAAATATTAGGACAAAGTGGCATCAAATACATAAGTGCCACACACGCCATTTGGTTTGTATGTGGGCTGTAATACAGCCCTAGTGTCTTGACGGGAGCAGGTGGTTTAATTAGGCCATACCCGGAGCCTTCGACCTAAACATCTGACCCACAAGACGATGGAGCAACATCAGGAGATGCTGTCCCACGGTAGCCGGTGATCGATGATTACTTCATACGCCATTTGTTCCTTCAGAATCCTGGAGTCTATGTGTACTATGGGGTTGTAGTCAGGGTTTTCTAACTCTTCTAGGCGGGTCCTCCACATCCACCAACCCGGTTAAATCGCCGGGCACTCGCATTTCGTCTTCTCAGTTTTGTAAACATCCCCGCCACGAGAATGCAGTGATTGTATGCACGTGGCCATGTGCGATCATTTCGAGAGGGAGAGCTGCCTCTCCCCAATCTCGGCCGTACCAAGGCATCATAACCTATGGTCGTAGATCGTAAATAAAATAATTCGAATTGGGTGGCTGGCGGTAATGTAGATATATTTGCTATTTTAGATTGAGTTTTAATATATAACTTACAAATCCGAATTTTTGTATTTAGTAACCTGTTTTCCATGAATGTTACTATTCGTTTAAATCATTTACAATTCAACAAAGGTATTGTGTTATTTCTCAATTATCTACAGATGTGCACTGTTAATAAACCAAGATAGAGATCCATTATTCCTAGGTTTTTTAATAGGTTGTCAGCTGGTATTAATGTGACAAAAGCCAACTATGATTTATCTTCATACACTTCCCATCTACGCTAAATTACAATTCACTAATCAGGACGAGCCACGCTGGAAAAGATGGATTTACTCTATATCCTATGAGTCACATTATTCCTCCACTTATAATTTTTTATTGTCTTTCCAAATCATACTCTCAAAGTTAAGTCATTCTCACTACCCATATTACTTACTTTGTTAACTTTATCTCGTCATCCCGTCATATTATAGAAACTTAGAGTAACAAACATTTATGTTACACTCTACCTTGACTGAATTGACGATTGCATACATTCATTTACTTATTCAACTTACGAAGGATCTTAAAGAGGCGAAGTAATGAATGCCAGTTATGATCGAGTTAAATCAATAGAATCACAAGATTAAGTTCCCAAACAGTAAAATAAGCATCCAAAATGGTTTTAAAAAATGTACAGATACTTCTTTTCAACACAACGTCCAAACCATACCTCATACAAAAAACTGCGGGTAATTTATTGGAGTCAAGAAAACAAAATGACTTTCAATTTATATTCTAGTGAATTAACTGACGGATTTTCCCGCAACAATCGTTACCTCGGCCTTCGCAACCTAACAGATTCCCACTGCTATTGGTCGCTCTATCTTACTGTGGTAATCGCTAATTGTATTGTCATCTCACTAGGAATTTCACCACTCTTCCTTACTTGTATGAATTAAAAAGTCGCTGTGTATAAGTATCTCTGATTAAGCAGTCATGCCAGGTCCTGTCTTATATCAACATACTCTCGGGTCTATTAGTGACCAATAAAAATTGACATTGCTGATGTGAGTTCTCGGGCGAAAAGAAAACAAGTAATAATCACTTAGTGTAATTTTATTGCTTGGATTGTTCAGTAAACAATAGTAGTGGTATACACTTATTTTATCGAGCTAGTATTGAAGAGCGTTGGCGACCGTAGTACACAATGTGGAACTTGAGAATCTGTTAGAAACAATTGTGTTGTAAATAGATGTAATTCAAACGTATTGCAAATACCTTCGTTTAGAAAACTCAGTGATCTAGGTTACAAAGAATACATACATTAATGCGTTACGTCTGTTTGGCTCTTCTTACAGCAATGTGATTCGGTCATTTACTTGGTTTTCAAATTAGAAAGACGAAACACGTCACCATATAACATTTCGTTGATGTATTTGTATGTTGATTACATGTGCAACAATATCAGTAATCCAAGAAAAACTATTAAAAAAGAAGCACCTTATACTTCACTCAATAAACTAAACGTTATTATGCTAACTGCTTAAACTTTTAGAATTCAGGTTGTAGTATTTGCGCTGGTGGGGGCTATATGAATTGAATGAACTCGACTGTAAATGCTATCTTGACGTGGTATATTGGTTAAAACAAATGCTCCTTTAAACTCTACTATACCAGGCAGGTCGATTGGAGAACGGTAAGATTAAAAGCAGTAAATTAAGGCACGATGGTGAAGTCGTACTGCCGAGTGCAAAGGGACGCTACGGCAGTAAGGTACTTCCCTCGGACAGTGATGTTGTATTCTCACAACGAAAGGGGTTAGAAAAGGTCAACCCTGAAGTGTCACACCTCACTTTACCCATGGATTTTAGTCTCCAGCGGTAAGGCCTGTCAAAGTGCGGAGCTAACAGTTCAAAAAGGTCCCACAGAAATGCCATAAGTGACCGGGCTCAGGAGATCACGCTCCCAGATCTCTATGGTCACCAAAAGTCCGGTTTTTCAGACCCCTAAAGAAGAAATATCCCTCCACCCTTATACTTCTAGCAACAACCAAGATCATCTTATTCACGATTAAATCCCTCCCTCGACTAACTAAAAGAACCCGAACAAACAGAATATATTTGAAAAGAAAAGAGTAATAGGCCAAACAGCCTAAAAAGTAATAAGTACTTTATTTTCCATAACGTAAATATACAAAATTCCCTTAACCGTCAGAGAAGTCCCATAAAGTGGAGTTAGAATTTATGGACAACCTTTGAGTGATGTCATAGTGACCTTGAGAAATTGCACCAACTTAAAAAGGTCTAGATAGGTTTATGAATTAGTGTGAAAAGTCAGAAGTTGATGCCAAAATCTATAACTCTCTATTTGAAATCTGATTGGTTTGTCTATCAATTAAAACCTCACTATAGAAACACGTGGAATCCTCAAATGAATTTTCGATATACACAAATCCTTTGAAAGATAAAATCAGGCATCTATCTGGAATATTTAATGTAAAGACAATGACGGAGGTAGATATAATAGTTGTATTCCTTCTGGAATATGAAATTGTTTAGTTGATCCAGAATTTGATTGTTTATCACGCCTAGATATTAATTTTGATTCTAATATATTAATTTGATTATCAATATTCACTTCAGATGTTAAATGATTTAAGTAAGATGAAGCAAGAAGTTCAGCATCTAAATTTTGATAAATAAACAAAACTATTATTATCTTACTAGATTTCTCTTCTAATATACGAATCTCTTCGATGGTTATATGAGAATATTTACATAATGGACCATAAGTGCATGTACCAGAATTACGAAATGTTATACATGGTTTCTTTGCTTTCTCTATACTAAGTTTTTCTTTAGGATCTAGATATATATTTATAAAATGAAATCACATTTCATAATTTATAATCCTACCAAGAAATTTATCATAATGTAATTTACGAGCTTGTTGATGTTGTACACCTTTAAGATGATTTCTTCGATTAATTGGATTATCTGGAAACGATTTGTCACAATAATCACAGATGAAACGTCTACCCATTCACAAGTCTTACCTATAAAATAATAAAGAAGAATAAGAATAAGGTAAACTATGTAATCTAATCACAATTGACTGATCATGCGTGTCTAGTCCTTATTCGGTGCAGATCGAATGCTATCGATCATGTTGCAATGTGGTTATCAGTCTAGGTAGGTGACTCGACACTGTGGGCACTATATATTGACTACCTGGTTGGAGACCGCGAGATCATAACAACCGATGGTTAGAGACCCTGAATGACATGGCCCAAAATCGTTTGCAATGGCGCAGGTGCATCCACTCTGTGTTCTCCCAAATTCTAATCTTCTGAATTCTTCATGTCCCTTTTTTCCTCTTTCCAAATTTATTTCACTGGATTATACTCTTTAAATAACATCTCCAAACCCTAATCTTCCCGATTACTGCTTATACTCTTATTACCTCTACCACTACGGGATTTGAATCGACAACTGCATCTCTGTGCTAATATGGTGTGGCAACTCGAACTGATGTACGTACGTACGAACTTCTACGTTGTTACTGACTGACTGATATTGAGATTAGATGGTGGTTGGAGGTAGTCGACAGGAAACCCTGGACCCGGGTTTCGTGCTACTTGGCACTCTTCAGCAAGGTGTACTTGTAATCTTGAGGGAACTGGTGCTCTCTGACGGAAGCTGGGTGACACGAGATCGAATCCGCCAGGGAGCACCAGTTCCCTCAAGATTACAGGTACACCTTGCTGAAGAGTGCCAAGTAGCACGAAACCCGGGTCCAGGGTTTCCTGTCGACTACCTCCAATCACCATCTATGTAATCTAAATACAACAAACAGTATAAATTATTCATTCTTCTATTGTAAAACAAAATCTATTATAAAAAGGAATTTATTATTAGTTTTTTGTCTCTCTTTGAGAGTTGATTATTGTATTCTCTTATTTTTACATATGCTTTCCTAAACAGATTCAGTAATATAGAAGATAATTGAATGATGCATATGATTTGTTCAGTAAGAAAGAAAGAAGAAGAAAAACAAACAAACAACCCACTTGGATGTATACACATACATACACACACACATGCATATATGAAGACAAATAGTAAAAACGAAAACGGGTAAATTGTCTAACAATTACCAAGGAGATAAGCTTGTTTTTACAATCAAACAACAATGACAATTAGCACAACAACAACAACAAATAGAACTATTGTTTTAAAAAGATTCTAACCAAACAGTAGAACTGACGGGAAAAAAAACCTTGGACAACCTGTACATTTAAACGTTTTGATTTGAAAAGACAATGAGGTTTAAAGACTAAAATGTGAATACAATGAGAAAAAGATCAAATTGAAAAAGTAACACTTTTAAGATGAAATTAGTTCATACACAGAAATATATATGTATATATTCATGTGGTAATGTAAGAAAAAACGGGGGGGGGTGAAACGTTTGAATTAAGTAAGCAAAATACACATATTCGTAGAAATGTTGGTGAAAACAATTGTCAAGTTGCTTTGGTTGAATATAAATGATCTTCTCTCATTAACTAGAACCGGTTGCATTTTCTTCAGAACCCAACCTGTAACAAAGTTACAAATGAAGTACGAAATAATTAGTAGGCTTAAGATGAAATTGAAAAATCGACAAAAGTACGACAACGAAATCGATTAAAGGTAATTTACACACTTAACGAATTGAGTCAAAGTTCAAACCCGTTGTCTTTTAAGTATAGCATTCGAACGTTGCTAATCTGACGTAGCCGCTTGAAATGATTCACATGTGATTAGTTGTACGTTTCATACGATCGATTGACTAACTTTAGGACGTTTACTAAACAGGTTATACTTCAAAACTTCGTAAAACTGAAGCATGAGAATGGAACTGAATCAAAACTAAAGAAGTACTAAATTCAGATGCACACTTTAATTACTTTTTTTCTCGAATCGGACTAGCTTCTCGAGGACGCCCAACTCCGAATATCGCACGGGCACGCTCTGATAATTGTCGATCATCATTTGTATTTACAGGGGTCTCTCTGATTTTTAGGTTTAGTTTAGGTCGATCACCACCCGAACCACTACTGGTTGAATCCGTAGAATTTGACTGAGGATTCCTGATACTAGGTTCATTTAATTCCTCTCGTGACAGTCCTGGAGGATGGTAACTTTGTCGTTGTCCACCGAACCCACCCATTCCGCCTCTATTTGGACGTCCATAACTTTCTAATAGTAAAACATAACCAAGAAATAAAGATTTCTCAAATTCAATTTGGTAACGAAGAATAATTGGTTTAAAATACAAATAAACAGTATATTAGCTATATTTTATATAGATGATAAAAATATTTATCTAGTTACCTAAACTAACGGTGATTGTAACGAATTATGAGCCAAATGATGTAATGACAATTGATAAGCCGAACATCATCGAAATGTTAAACCACTATTACATATTAAACAAAAATTATAGTTTACATTTCATCTGTAGATTATAATATATACGTAATGGTAAAAAGTATTTTAAAACACTGTTAGCGGGACATAGACTGGATTAAAGCATACTCAATGCACGATTGCTTTGGTGCACGCTGATTGGCTAATTCTTATCCGATCAGCACTAGTCGATACTTGGAGAATACTCTGGAATCTTCTCATGTAAAAACTAAGAATAAACTAACGCTTTTCCTACTGTGCTTCTTGCTTCCATCTAACCTTGTTATTTGGAATATTATCTCTTTCCTGTTCTGTTTTGGGGACTTGTCGAGTGATTTGGTGTCCAAGAATACTAAGCAATAGGAATAGCTGGGTTACAACCGTAAGAAAAAGATTATAACAAACACTAAAAAAAAGTAATATGGAAGAGGAATATTTCGAGATTTTTTATTCCTGCTTCGGTTTGGGCACCCGTAGAGTATCCCGGCCCTGACACAGATCGAAAGATTTATGTGGCGCATATCTATTTGGTGCCTCCTCGTACCAATGTTTATGTGTTTATATAATTAAAAAACAAAAACAATCCCTTAATAATTAAAGGAACTCGATTTCAATAGTGTGACGAATTATGAACTGAGTAGAAAACTGAGAGAGCAGTTCAGTTAAGAAAAGTACAAACAGAAAAGACTCAGTTAACGAAGTTTCCCTAACCTATATGAAGAAAGCAAAAGAAAATCACAGCAGGATCGCCGCTTGCTTCTATTTTGAGACATGTTTGATAACGTCTCAAGGCACTAAGTTACACCATCTCTAGGAACCCAATCAGGAAGTCAGGATGAACCGATATATCCCAGTCCTATGAAGCTTTCGTCCACACCCTAAGATCGTATCGTAAACTGACCACCTCTCCACTTTTTCCAACCAGTCCCAGCATCGGTAAATAATGCATGATGTGGGATTCGGAGGAACGACATTCATAGTACATAGCTGCTGCACCCACCTAACTCTGCTTATGATGATTTTGACTTGATGAAATAACGAGGTAATCCACACAGGATGCACATATGCCAATAAGAGATCGATCAGTTGCGGTTGGTTCGGCATATGTAATGTCTATTCCAGCTACCTCACGAATAGAATCCCCATCCTTATCCAGACATTGCTTACTCCATGGTCCCAAAACACAAGGGCAATGCTTCGAAGATACCTATTGTCGAACACTAGCAATCTACGAATATCCTTTATTCCTAATGGCTAATGTTCCACACCCACAAGGTAGAATGGGACGACTTTCAAAAGGGGTCAGAGGTAAACCATGTGTGGCTGGTGACCCATAGCACCCAAAGATTTGGGGTTCCTTCACGACTCCCACCTCGTCAGGTAGGTCGGTCGACATTAGAGTGCAAGTCATAAACCTGAGTAAACTAGGTCGGCTTGAGCTGACGAGTAGTGTCAAGTAAAATGTGGCTGACAGCCGAATATATAAGTCTGTGTTTTAAATGGATTATATTATCTTACTATTTGTAAAGCACTGATGTTAACGGTTTGGCGTGTTCTTTTAAAAAAGGAACCTCAGTGTGTTTAGTCAAGAGATCCCACAGACTTTGATCATTACGACCATGCTGGTAGATATTGTTAAGCTATCAATAAACGAATGAGTAACAATTATTCAGTTTACAGAGATTTACACCTTTAATTCCATCAAACACGTTTGTTAAAAAATATACATCCATTTTATGCATAACACATTTAAGTTAGGCCGAATAATCCTGCTTAGCATTACACTTAGAAATGACTCATAGTTTTCATTGTTTTATTCTGTGGTTCTCTTATATCCTTTGTTTGAATGCGAAAACCTTAGAATCAGAAAATACATGATAACCGAACTTCAGCATCCCAGTTAAGTTACTCGAATGCACATTTTCAATACCATAAAAACCATGCAGAACAATTAAAAATACTTAGTGAATGTTTTGGGGGAAAATGAATATCCATGTGAATTAATCAAATTAAGCTTATCCAAGTCACCAGTAAGTAATTACAAAATCATTTGTGGTGAAAACGAAACAATCGAGTCCTATTCTATATGAAAAATGTCTGGGATTTTAACCACACTAAAAACAACTTTTGGAATACTTATAGCTGACAAACCCAAAAAGCTCGATCCTATTTACAGACATAAATTGATTGGTACAGTGAGTCGGAAAGATAAACCTATTAACCAAACCAGATGAAAATTCACGAAAAAAAACAGTATGCCCACCCATCCGTCCACCACCCATGCTAGGTCTACCACGTCCCTGATTTCCAAAGCCACCACGTCCTTGATTTCCGAAACCACCGCGACCATGACTACCGAAACCACCACGTCCTTGATTTCCATATCCGTTGTTCATACCCCATTGACCTTGACCACCACCCCCACCTTCAGATAGTGAAAGCATGATAATGCAGATACAGCAAAACATGTGACAGTACAAGTCATCAAAAAACTTGATTAAATTCTGGTTACAGAAGACGGGCACACAAACCCATTAAAATAGCTATTGTGAATGCCATGTTAATAATAGACGGTAATTGTTAGATTCT